ACTAGATCATGCTGGATCCATCCTTGATTAGACATAGTTTAAAACCTCCTTGCTTCAAGAGGATAAACCTTGATAAAATTAAAGTGTTTGATTTTGTTTGTAATGATGGGGAGGGGGATTACTAAAAGAGGATGTGTTAATTAAAGAGGGGCGTGATAAGAAAACCATCGTAGAAATTACAGAACAAGTGGTTTTTAATTAAACTACAAGTCCAAATGTCAAATTTTGCTCTCTGAAAGAGGTTATTAAAAGTCTGTAATAGGGGGAATATTTATAAAATAGGAGATATAATACAGACCCTTTCCGAACTATGTTAGACAGAGTGAATTACTACCAGATAAGTTTATCAGATAACTTTTTTATTAGTCAATGCAGTACACTGTTTAAATACTGGTCAATGCACAATTTGTATCTTGTTTTTGCATTGTTGGTATTTGTTGCAATTAATGCCAATGACATAAAGAAAGTATAACATTTAACAGCAAGAATCTGGTGTAGCTCTATAATAGATTGATTTATTTAGTTTGCAACAATATATACAGCATGTTTTTAATCCTACCAACTTAAGTCAAGAAATAAGTCTTATTGTATTATATTTTATTTATGTGTTAAAAACTGAATAAATATTTATTAAATATAATTTTATTTTTCTAGAAATATGTAGTACTTCCAAAGTGTACCAGTTCAACAAGACACCCAGCCATTAATACAGGAAAGCAACAGCCATCAAGTTACCAATTACGATGTATATATTCGGCTAGCTTTAATACCATATATATCGCCACCGTCATACTTATATGTGGATAGGATAGTTCCCCATACTTCATTGAGGATCAAAACAGAGACTTCCAAGTTTGAAAGCAAATTTTATATGTCATCTATATCTAAAAAAGTGTGTGCAAAAGTACTTCTTGATCAACTACAATTATCATATACCTAGTCGCTAATTGTTCATATTTTTAAGATACACATCCTTATATAATCCATGTTACATACGCCAACATATGGCGTTCATCGAGGCTTTCATATAAACAAGCTATCAGCACTCACCGTAATTTACGTCAGAAAGAGATAAATTTTCCATTTAGACATCTAATTCGTCACACGAATCCTTCCAAGAGTTTTCTAAAGCCTGCATCGTCCCGCTTTCGTCCAAAAATTCATTCATATTTGAGAAAACTGTCAATTTTGCCCGATTGCCGAGTTTTCGACTATTCTGCCAACTTTTCGACACACGATTCCACAGTCCCTCGCATTTCCGACGTGTGTTGTCAACGCCTAACCCGCGAACGGGCATATTCTCCCGTACTAAAATATAACGAGGGACTGTGGAAGAGTCAGTGCTGGTGGGGCTTTTATAATGTATATCAAATAAATTATGCATAATGAAGTCTCAAGGCTTGATGCCTGCGAGAAATGCTGGTCTTAATAGTCATGACCTGGGACAATTTCGATAGTGGCCATTTCCAATTGTTTTATTTTCCTGGGCGATGACTACTAATCGAGCAGTATGATGCTCACATTGGAACACACAATTGTATACAATATTGCTCACAATTTCTTACTTATTATCTATATAGTCATTACAAATGAATGGTCATCTGAAGCTGATGTATTAAACAAAAATGTCAACAAACTTGCAGATTCATTGTTCAGTTGTTCTACAGTAGGGATAGCCTTGAAGGTTGCATTAAAATAATAGTTGGGACAAAACTGACTACAAAGGGCATGTTCATATGGGCAAAAGTTATCCCGGTTTAAGGAGAAAACTTTTCGAGTAGCTAAATACTTTTGTTCAGTTCACATGGAGAAACTTTACCTCGATTACCGGATAAAGTTTCCGGCTGTGACGTAGCACTGAACATGAATTGAATTGAAAGGTGCTGACACGGCAGAAAGTTATCCCACTAAGCGGGAAAGTTGTGTTCATATGGGAAAAACATTATCCCGGTCACCGAGATCTCGCCTGTCAACAAGCGAGATTTCGGTACATGGAAAAAGTTGTTGTCTCATATGAACGCAATGTAACTTTTCATATTATTTTCATACCAAGGTGAGATCTAGCTTGTAAACTTGTTGAAAAGTTTTCTTGCTAACACGGATAACTTTTGCCTATATGAACAGGCCCTTACTGGTAGTATTTCTATATATGAAATTGTAATTAAATTCTACATATCCAATGATTCATTCAAGTATTATTATTGTTTGTTACACATGATATTGTACAGTATTCAATGGCAAGCTAGCCATGACAACTGGTATGCTATGCCAATAAACCTGCATCTATCTGAATAATGCAAATCAATATCATAAAAACTTGCATAGCATACGCTGTAGACTTTCACAAAGTCCTTTCTCTTTTTAGAATGAAGGAATTTTCAAGGAAGCTAGCAATTTCTTGAAGAGTAAGGAATTTGTTGAAGTCAATAGGATTTATTAGAATCATAGAGATTACAAATAACACTAGAGGAGGTATTGCAATCTTTACATTAGGCAAAAAGGGAATCCTGCTATTGGGGGCAAATTCCTGCATGTGTGCTTGCATTCCTATTGGTGAGAGCATGATTTTATATCCGCGACCTACATTTGCCCCTCCCCCTCCCCTCCAATAGACGTGTTCCCAAATTTTTAACCTCGATGCCGCTTCCAGTGTTATTTACAATCTTTATGATTAGAATATCTAGCTGACCTTCGACTTTGTGCAAAGTGTTTTCGTATTCAAATTGCACTTTTCCTACCTCCTGAACAGGTGTCTTCTAAAGGGGTGCCTTACGTGCTTGTATGATGGAAGACGGGTTGAGGCAGCACTTTCCTTGCGATAGTAACTCCTAGTTATACATTTATGCTCTCTATGACGTCATCGTATATGACGTCACGCATTTTTCTACGATTTCACGGCTTCATGCTCGTGAAGAGAGCCCCTCTCCCCCTCTGGTGAACTGTTTAGTTCTACAGCACAGTGCATGTGGACGGATTACCAAAACTGAATGACGGGAATTCCATGTTTCAAACTTACCGTGATACATAAAGATGCCATTTTTTGATACGACTTGAAGGAAAAACAGCGCAACTTTTCAATCAAAAGGTCGATAATAAAACGAGCAGCTTTGTCTTCAAGAAAAGCTTTGCATTTTGAAAGAGAAAAGTTAAATCGTTTGAGATAGCTATTTCACTTATCCGATTGTGCATTGTTCGGGAGTTGGGAGCGATATTGTATATATAACCTTGTTGCCTGGGACGACGTCGGCTCAGTGTTGAAATGAGCACCTGCTGGAAATGCAAAATTCACATTTGTATAGGAAATAGATGATCTGTTCTCCTTTTAAATAATATATGAGGCGCTCGGGTATTATTCATGAGACGCGCGTTGGCATGCTGCTGAAAGTTTAAGTTACCATATATATTTTTATTACGTTTATAATTTCCTTCTAGTCGTGGCAGTTTTAATAACCTGTTTGCTATATCTATGATTCGTCATGCATATATATATATATTTATATATATTGTATAGTTTTTCGTTTTACCTCAAAAAACCACAACAGTCTGTTTCACCCGTATAGGAATCATCAGATGATTCCTATATACGGATGAAACAGACTGTTGATATGTACAACTAGAAGAGCGTGCGGAGGAGGCAGATTATGATAAAGGAAAAATATCTTGGCCCAAAACATATACGTGCAATTAAGCCTGGTTGGTTTAACTGTGTTTAACGCAAAATGCGACAAGATGAATAGCGAAGCAGATGACAGACACTGCCAAAACCCTGCCAAGTCGTTTTTTGTCTCATTCTCGGCACAAAATTTTCACCAATTCCCTGTACAAAAACAGAAATGCGGTGCCTGTATTTTTGTTCAATTTTCCCAAACCTAGTCACAATGTAGGGCAATGTTAAAGGAGAAAAACCGTGTTCGCATTTTTTATGTAATAATTTATGTGGAACTTTCTAACTGCTCCCTGAAACTGATGACATTAAATTCTATTTTCTTTGGTTTATATCTAAATAAAAGCAAAACCTGTCGGGAAATGCGGGTTTTGTAACTTGACTATGTCGGGTTTTGCATCTAACTTGTCGGGTTTTGTAAGTTCAGTATTCGAGATGGGAAATAAGTTATTTTGAACCTTCCCATGGCAATTCAAAACAGTGGCCTAGGTTTGAAAAACGACTTTATAGTGCCTTAACGTTTAAAGCAAGCGATTTTTTTGTTAGGTCCTTTTCTAGCTTTTCATTTATAGCTATATTTAGCACTGCATGTTTACGCCAAGTTTAAGAAAATTTAGTCAAAAAGCGACTGCGCAATGATCCCTGTTGACTCGAAAACTCAATGACAAATGGGTAGAACGGCGGTCTAAAATCCAGAAGAAAATGCGACTCTTGCAGTGTCAGAATAATATGAAACCTGTTTTCCACATAAGGAATGATATTTCTGAAATAGAATTGAAAACTGCGCGCCTCCTGACAAGGGCCTGATTTGCCTGGCCGATGTCGCTTCGTTCCATAAGTGTCGTACCAGAAAATGAATTTCAGACCACAACAATCTGTTGTAGCTCAACGTTGTTTCTGCGCTGTTTTTTGGAAGAATTATTCAGCAAATAAAAATAAAATAACTTACCGTCTTTGCTCCGTCAATCTGTCTTAACTTCTTTAGGTACTCGCTGATTGTGAAGTGTGCGTGAAGAACTGGCGCAGGTATAATGTATAACTCAGTCTTCCCGGCGTACAAATAGATTTGGATAATCAATAGACCTTTCCTATAATGACGCCAAACGCGGAAAGACATACTTAAATTGATGTCCCAGCTAGGGGCAATGCAATTTAGTGAAATTGTTTATTGGCTCGCCAACGTTTTGCACTGACCTGTGGGACAATGGCCAACGCATAAATTGGTTTTCAGCTTTTGACGTTATTATAAGAACGGTCCATTATTTATGGTTATGCAAATTAAAACGGCATGCAATAATGATAATAGCTGACGGATATTGTAGATGGAAATTATCGAGTGGAAACTTATATACATTTATTAGACCTAACCAGAAACAGCAGCGAAAAATGCGAATATCTATATAAATATATAAACAGGATATTAACACTGCCACGACTACAAGCAAATGATAAATTTAATAAAAAAATTAGGCGGTGGCATGCTGCCGAAAATTTAAGTTAGCCTACCATATATATTTTGAAACTCAATTGCTATATCTATATCGTCTGCCGAGCAGAGCGGTGTACACTTGTTGGGTATATAGTGATGGGCGATACTATCGAAAAAGTATCGAAATCATGGATCAGTGACTTACAAAGGTATCGATACTTTCGATACTCGCAAAAAGTATCGGTAATTCGATACCACTTGAGCATGCGATGTCCCAAGGGGCAATGCAAATTATGTTTTTATGAAATTTATTGGCTCGGCAACGATTTGCATTTGACCTGTGGGACAATGCTTAAATTATTTTTCCGCGTTTGACGTTATTATAAGAACGGTCTATTATTTATGGTTATGCAAATTAAAACGGCATGCAATAACGATGATTTATTATATAAACATAAGCCGTTTTATGGAGTTTTTGGACACTGAGAAAAATCGTATTTAAACACACGTAAAAAATACGATATTTTTACGTGTGAAATATCATTTGTTGTAAAACGCATTGCCACGGACGTTTTATTGTTTTTCACTGCATTTTGTTTATATATTTTATCTCGTGTTGAACATGTTCAACACTCGAAATAAATCTGGTATTTCCGAGCACCCATGTATTATTCTCTATATAGTTGACGGATATTGTATAGATTGAAATTATCGAGTGGAAATTTATATACATTTATTAGACCTAACCAGAAACCGCTGCGAAAAATGCGAATATATATATATATATATATTCGCAGGATATTAACACTGCCATGACCTCAAGCAAATTATAAATTTAATAAAAAAAATTAGGCGATAATATTACCATATATTTTTTTTATTAATAAATTTATAATTTGTAGTCGTGGCAGTGTTAATAACCTGTTTGCTATATCTACGATTCGTCTGCCGAGCTGAGTGTGTACACTTGTTGGATATAGTGATGGGCGATACTATCGAAAAAGTATCGAAATCATCGATACTTAAAAAGTATCGATACTTTCGATACTCGCAAAAAGTATCGGTTATTCGATACTATTATTATTTTATTATCATTTAAAATATTTTAAAACGGTAGCTCTTCAGGGCTCGTAGGCACCTGTTTTTCAAGAGGCCGTTTATTACAAGTATTTACAAGCTACAAATAAAATAACACAAATATGTAGCTAGTACACAATAACAGAGAAAACATAACGAACTTAATAATTAC